GCTTCCAGTCTTCTTGGCCCTTGAGTTGAGGTTTCCTTGGAGGAAATCTTCCCAAAATTTGCCTTGAAGTAAAACCCTAGCCTTCTTCTCCCTCTAGTTCGTGTTTCTCTCTCTAGAATTCTGAAGAAGGCTTCTCTCACAAAATGGACTCTCCCCCTCTCTCCTCCTTTCAGCTCATCATTTAAATAAGAGACGAGCTAAGTTCACGGCCGTGAACCACGAAACTCGTCCGTGAAATTCAGGCGTGCGCCAAAATGCGTCGCATCGTTCACTTTTGTTCACGGTCAACTGCCTAAGAACGTGAACTCACCATGCGTCAGTAACCTTCATTTTGACTCAAGACGCCTTGTGATTCACGGTCAAGGGCTCCTCTTCGCTGTCTTGCATGACCGTGAACTTTCTGGGAAAGCCGTGAACTAGCCCATTTTCACCTCTTCCCCCGGTTTTCGATCCTTTTCGCCCAACTTTCGACTATGAGGCTGGTTTCACCCGTCGAATCATGAAACACACTAAAACACGAGGAACCTAGCGTAAAACCAACCTTTTAGGAGTGAAATTGGCAGAAACACCTAAATAAAACTGGGACAAAACATGTACAATTAGGCCCGAATCAGTTTCCTTAGGCATTTAATGCCTCCTAAGCTAGTTTAGAGAGAAACCTCCTTAACTTAAGAGGCTCTATTAGAGATGGGTTTCCTTGGGCATTCTATGCCTCCTATTCTAGGTTAGTTAAAGGGCAAACCTCCTAGTTTGCATTAGCACGTAGGGTTTGGTTGTGGGTGGCCGTCAGAACTCCAATTCGAGGGTGAAGTCTAACAATTCCTTTGTTGATAGGTTGAGAGGGTCACATTAGTGGTTTGGATCGTATCCCATTCCTCAACCTAGAGGCTAAGAGGGTAGCTTCGGCTGCTTGTTAGACTTTCCTGCGGTTTATGACCCCCTAACCACACACGGTCGTTCGACTCTTCAAGTCATGATTGTTAGCTGGGGGAGCAACTCCTGGGTGAAGCTTTCTCAACTAGAGTCAAATCCATTTTACCTTTGCAAAGTAATTTAGTTTTAGACCTTTGTTTCCACCAAAACCAATCCGCTAGAGATTGTTTCAAACAGTCGAAGTAGCGGTACATGGACCTATACACAAACCTAATACAAGTCGCAGTCGTCATCATAGGTTGCACATAATCTCAGGCAAATCATCCATAGACAATGCTAATAACCACGCGATTCAAAACAAATCACCACAAGGTGTCACTATGATCATGCAAATGTAGAAGTTGTTATGCTTGGAGCCCTCAAATTTTGAAAATTTGGGCATACAACTAGGCTCCAAGCATTCAAAATCACACCAAACATTCACACGCACATGCATAATAGACTACCCCCCACACTTAAGCTCGACATTGCCCTCAATGGCGGAAAAGAAGGGGATAGAATGATGTTACTGGTCAAGTTGTGAATGTTTGTGCTCGAGAGCGGAGGGCGGGTGAGATCCGGAAGAGCGTGGTCACGTCCAAAACACCACCAAAATCTCTGCAATGGTCTTCTTATCTTTAGCGGAAAGAAAACAAACTGATGGTATATGGGTTGCCTCCCACCAAGCGTTTCTTTAACGTCGTGAGCCGGACAGTTTCTCTTCAAGATTCAATCCACCGGAGAACCTCCGTGAACTTGAGGTTCTCGTCGGTGAGGTGATGTCTCAAGTCACGAGCATTGGACAAATCCATGATTGAGGGCTCGTGAACTTGATTGGCTTTGAGGCTCCACCTACGAGACCTCTCCTTCTTTCCTTCTCCTTATTTCTCTTTTCCCCACACACTGTAATGCATCATCGCTTTACCACCATCGCATCCACCAAGAGGAATCGTCGATGGTTTGTCCTTGGCTTGGAAAAGAGCCGCAAATGGGTCCTTCTCCGAAAGCGCATCAAGGTCGGATGGAAAGCTTTCATAGCCCTCGTAACTTGTGGATGCTTCATCCACCTCGACCTTGTCCTCGTCTTGGACTCCACTTGCACCTTTTTCTTCATCTTCAAACTTCCTTCCTTCTTCAAAATTTGATTCCTCTCAATGGGAACACCCAAGATCTTCCTCCTCGTCAATGCTCACTTCCTCCTCTTCAACCACTTCTTCCTCCTTCCCATTCATGTCTTCAAGCACTAATTTAAGGCCAAAATGAAATACAAGGTCTTAGAAGGGATTCTCTTACTCATCCTCACTCGTGCCTTGGTCTTCAAAGTTGCTTTCGAAAAGGGGAAAGTGATGGGAGTCATTAATGCAACATTCTTGTCCATCCTCACCACGGGAGCTCTCCGCGGTGAGTTCTTCTTGCTCCACACTGTTGTAATTGACGCCCCTTCAACCTCTTCTTTCTCCTCCAATAATGAGAGGCGATAGCTTTCAAAAGCTCGTGCCACTTTATCTTGTAGTGTCAAACCGGGAGGAGGGAGGGGTTGGAAATCCATGTCGAAGCTTGTTCTTCCAAAATCATCATGGATCGCCTCTTCGACTTCCTCTTTTTCTTTCAATGGTGGGAGGCGATTGTGAGTAAGTTGTGCACATGCTTGCTCTACAAGCCCTCCTAGCCTCTGCATGCGTCGACGAAGCTCCTCCGCCTCCTGAAGAAAGATTGAGTCGATAGGGTTGGCGATTGGGAGGTCCTTTCTAGAGCACCCATCATTGGTGCCCCGGGCAAATCGCTCCACCATGAGCTTTAATTTGCAAATTGGCTCCAGTTGTGGAGTGGCACATGGTCTCGATGATTGTCCCATGAAAGCTTCCATGGCCACTCCAACTTGGATTTCTCCTCGGGTTGTGGAGGGAAACCTTCTTGATATCGGGAAGCCTCTTCATACCCCCCAATGGTATGGTTGTTCTTCTTGGAAGGGGGGTTGGTAATCGAACACGGATCCTTGGCTTCCCCCTTCTTGTTCACTCCATGAAGCTCTGGGGTACCCCCATTCGGGTGGTTGTGGATACCCCCACCTATTGTAGTAGCCATTGGGATCCATGATTCATAACCTACTCAAACAAAAAAAACACAAAAACAAAATCATACGTTACAAACCACCCTTCAAGACGAAGAGTGGGTAAACAAAACACAACACAAAACATAAAACACAAACAAAAAGGCAAGATAGAAAATGCTAGAGTAACACTTAGCGACCTTGTCTGGATAACGGACCGTAAGGTCCCCGACAACGGCGCCACAAACTTGACTCGCACGAAACTACACCACAAATTAATCCCGACTAGAGTCAAAGTTTTTAACTCTAGTCGTATGCAGTATAGAGCAAGTATTTAGTTATCGGCTCGGGCCAGTCCATGTACCCCTACTTCAATCTCTTAAGTTGTTATCTAGCAAAACCGTTTTGGGTTTAGGATTATTGGATCTACAAACTAACCAAGCAAAGAAAGGAATATAAAGGAAAATTCTAACTAAGGGAGCTTCACCTAGGAGTTGCTTCCCCCTAACTAGCTACCGAGACTCGATGGATTGGAATGATTGGTTGGGGCACTGATAACGTCGTATTTGGACATGTTTGCACCCTCGTTTCTTGATCATTTTGGCTTCATTTTTTGCTTTCTTGGACTATTTTACGCTAGGTTGTGTTCCTTTGTCACATTTCAGGTCCTTGCATGTAAATTGAAGCAAAGGTGCAAGTTTCAAGTCAATCGGGATTCATTTGGCAATTCGGGAGAAGAAACACGACCATGACCTGAGGAATAATGGATTTATACCTCATTTTATGGACAAATAATCATGGAAGTTTGTTATGAAAAGAAAGAGTACAAGACTACAAGCGTCTGGGTTCAAACGGCGACTGATTCGGAGTCCGGACGAGGGAGAAACGAAGCATTAAACAGGAGCGGAGGAAGAATTACGGGCAGCCCCTGCCAAATTACGGGCGTAATTACTTCTATCATGCCCGTAAATGCAATGCCGATCCTAAATCCCTGAGAATTCCTGTCGCAGAGCAAATTACGGGCAAGAGTGGACTCATTTACGGTCATAATTACTTAAATACTGCCAGTAATTGGGTAATTACGACCGTAATTACCTTCCTCAGAGTTTAGTGAAACGCGCGTTTTGGGTGAATTACGGGCAGACCTTGATAACGATCGTAATTCAGCCCATATTTCACCCAGAATCGGGTTTTTGAGGCAGATTCGAGCCAAAGGAGAGGAGTTCGACTTTTTGGAGCAACAATAGAGTTTTAGAGAGAGAAAGTGCGAAGAACAAACTCTATGAGCTATTTGGAGTGGATTTCTCACCATTGAAGCCCATATTGCATCCCCAGGAGTGAAGATTGACATCCCATAGCAGATTCTTCCCATTGTTATGTGTATGACTGCTTTGTATTCTGTTTCCCTCTCTCTCTCTCTATGGAGTAGAACTTTCTCTCACTTGGGTATGAAGAACCCTAGTTCCATGTGTTGGGAATCTTGATTGTAATTACGTTTGGATTGTGATATTGCTTGATTATAATCGATTGAAGTGTTTTGATTGAGTCAATTGAAGTCTGATCATCTTTTATTGATTTCTGCTGCAAGCCTGCAACCTGAGATAGATAGAATCTTATTAGGTTGTTAGAGCTTCTTCAATCGGTAGTAGTGAATCGATTATACGAGAGTTAGTCGATTCACTGCTATGTACTGGAATCTAATTCCAGTAGTGGAGTTCTGTGTTCATTACCTCAGCGTTCTATCCCGGTGAAGACTAGTAATCTGCCGGGTAGTTTGACTGAGAGGGCTTGGTCAGCTTAAGAGATTCCAAGCTACTGTCGGATCTTCCGCAGTATAATCAGCAGTAAAGCAACCAAAAGTAATTACAACTGTGACGTAACTAAGGAGCTAGGGGGGCTCATTCCCGAGTGACTCTTCCTTTGCTTTAGAAAACCGAACCATTTCCTGCTTTCTTACTGCTTTTAGTTAAAATCACAATCACTCAACTTAGTTTGCTAGATAACATATATACACGGAGTAGGTAGTAGATCTAGACCCCGGGTTGACAATTAGAGCTTGCCCGTTACTGCATTTCCGGATTGCGATTACACTTGGTCGCAGTTTGGTGTTGTGTTTTAGCGTGTCAAGTTTTTGGCGCCATTACCGGGGACTCTAGGTTATTGTAGAAACGTGAAAGTCTGTTACTTTAGCATTTACTTTTATGCATCTCTCTTTTCCACCCTTGCTTTTCACTTGGGTATTTTGTTTTTGTTGGTGCAGATCTGATACATGGATCCTCATGGCTTCTCCAATCATTGGGGGTATCCACCACCACCGGAGTGGTATTACCCCGAGACTTCCTAGAGCAACCAAGGAGGAGAAGACTATGGACTCGGGTTTCAGTACCAACCCCCCAACTACGAAGAACAATCTCCTTATCAAGAAGAATTCCTCCCACAACCAGAAGAGCCATCAGATCTTGATTTAGCCACAGCCTTCACGGGCCATCCGGCAGAGCCATGCTACACTCCACAGCCAGATCCAAACTATCACTTGAGGCTTCTCATGGAGCAGATTGCTCGAGTACCTGAGAGATCCTTTCCCGAGATGGATCCTCATATCCAGGCCATGGCCCAAACTGACTTCTCTTTTCCCCGTGAAACAGAGGATACCCTTCGGAGCATAAAGAAGCACATAGAGGTCATTGAGAAAGCTTGTGCACAGTTTTCTCAAGACAACCTTTATGCTTCCATACAAGTAGAGGAGGAGGAAGAAGAAGGCAATCATGAGGATGTTGAGGAGCATACAGAAATTGTCACGGAAAGCTCCCATGATAATCATGATCAAGTGTATCCTCTGGTGGTAGATCACAATTGTCCCCATTTCCGCTCTGATATGCTGGGCCCGAGCGAGGAGATGCAAGATGATCTCATTGAAGAAATTACATGGAAATTTGCTCTCCAATCTGTGCTAGAAGAAGAAGAGCGAGAAAGGGTGAGGGAAGAAGTTGTGGAGGATGAGGAAGAAATCAAAGAAGAGGAAGTTCTTGATCTTTTCCAAGAGGAGAGACCACATTTTGAAGAAAGAAGGGGGTTTGAGGAAGCAATTGGCGTCCAGGCTAAGGATGAAGTTGAGGTGGAACAGGCTTGCAGCTGCCCTATGTTACATGTGATATCTCCACCAAACTTCGAGGAGCTGTTTGGCAAGGACCCTTTTGCAATGTCTCTTTGCCATACCAAGACCATATCAACATCAATCCCTCTTGGTGGATGCGATAGTGGTCAATCGATGATATCTTATCTGGTTTGGGGAAATGAGACAAGAGCAAACGCGAAGGAGAGGTCTCGAGAGTGGAGACTTCATCTTCCTCAAGGCCACGAGCCATCTTCATCACCTATCACATCACCTGCTTGTGACTTGAGACTCCACATCATCAACGAGAACCTCAACTTTAAGGAGGTTCTGGGGTGGACCGAAACTTAGGAGCCACCGTCCAGCTAAAGACGTAAAAGAAGTGCTTGTGGGGAGGCAACCCCACCAAGGTTTGTTTTCCTTCGGTTATTTTTGGTTTGTCCACTTGGAACTATGGTTTCTATCACCCAGTGTATTTTGCTGACTGGTCCACTTCCAGTCCCCCGGCAGTCTTTCCTTTCGGTAACATCGTTCCCCTTATCTTTCCCTCTGCTCCATTGAGGGCAATGTCGAACTTAAGTGTGGGGGAGTGCTTTGTATTGGTTGGAACGTATATATGTGTGCTTGGAGCCTAGTCCACTGTCCAAATCTTGAGATTTGAGGGCTCCAAGTACTGCTGTTTGCTTGATCGTATTGGCACCATGGGTTTAATTGGTGAGTCGAATGGCTTTCAAATTGATGCATGACACTGGATTGTGACTAAGACAACCTATAATGATGACTGAGACATGCAGTAGAATTGTGTAGGAGTTCAGTTTTTCAACTGTTTGCTTACCAATTGTGACTTGGATTGATCACTTGCTCTTGACAGTCGTTTATGCATCTAGTTCAGGGAATCAAAATGAGAGATAGAGCATATAGGTAGCCATGCGAGATTTGAGCCTGCTCGTTTCTTTCTTGTGCGATAGATCCCTCTTCCATGATGTGTAGCATTCACGTTGTCATTAGCTAAGATGATGGAGGCATAGGAATAACCCACGACCAAATTGACTGTCATGGTGTGTCATACCCCCTAGTCAGCCCCTTTCAGCCGTGTCTCTTTCTTTCTTTCTGTTTATAATGGAAAATCACCCTTTTGCATCTCTTAGAAGATTCCACGGAGTGGTTTTTGCATGTTCTCTGCTGTTTCTGCTAAAAATAATGTGAGGGTTGGAGGTAGTTCTTAAAAAAGTTGGGCAAGTGTTTGAAAATGTGTAGAGGTGGTGGTTCTCTCGCGAAATGAAAAAAAATGAAAAAAAGAGAAAAAAATGAATGAAAGCAAAAGAGAGCCACTACCCAAAAATCTGAATCATGCTCATTAAGTAGTGTTTCTTAGCAGTCTGGCTTGGAAATACTAACATTATTGTGAACTCCTTCGCTCTTGTGCTCTAAGTAATTTGAGTAATGTAGAATAGCAGAAAGAAAGTTACTAGTTTGATTGGTTGTGATTGTGTTGGGTTTGGAATTGTGGAACCTTGTGCTATGAATACTTCCACCACCTAAAAGGCTTTTTCCCCATTTCCAGACCCTAGCCAGTCATCTGAACCTGTGTCTAAGACCTCTGGATTAGTTAGTGGTGACACCCAATATGTGAACTATAACATTTAGAGGCTGCTTTCATGGTGAAGAGACGTTAGGGATTGAGAGAATAATCATGCACATCTTGCATCAAATTTTGTCCTGACCCCACTGGTCGAGAGTTAGCGATTCACTTCCTTATATTCTCTACACTCTTTACCTTGGTGAGGACCTAGAGTGCTCGGTCTTAATTCTGATGTCTTGACTTTTATGCATGAGGCGACTGTCTTGAATAAGTGATTGAGTCAAGTCTATGTTGGTTAGTGAACAGAAGGGAGACTCGTCCTTTACCCGATTTTGCTGCACTCGAATGTCTTCTGTGGTGGTTGTCCAGGTTGCTATTGAAGTTGTCCTTGTGTTAATGATCAAAAGCCAGTATGATTCACGTCTTTTGTGCCGATATGATATGTCCCCACGGGTTGCATGATTAAGATGTTTTGATCTTACCTTGTATTTGACTTGGTTTGCTTGGGGACAAGCAAATGGTTAAGTGTGGGGGAATTTGATAACGTCGTATTTGCACATGTTTGCACCTCGTTTCTTGATCATTTTGGCTTGAGTTTTTGATTTCTTGGACTATTTTACGCTAGGTTGTGTTCCTTTGTCACATTTCAGGTCCTTGCATGTAAATTGAAGCAAAGGCGCAAGTTTCAAGTCAATCGGAATTCATTTGGCAATTCGGGAGAAGAAACACGAGCATGACCTGAGGAATAATCGATTTCTACCTCGCTTTATGGAAAAATAATCATGGAAGTTTGTTATGAAAAGAAAGAGGACGAGACTACGAGCGTCTAGGTTCAAACGACGACTGATTTGGAGTCCGGACGAGGGAGAAACGAAGCATTAAACAGGAGCGATGGAAGAATTACGGGCAGCCCCTGCCCAATTACGGGCGTAATTGCTTCTGTCATGCCCGTAAATGCAATGCCGAGCCTAAATCCCTGAGAATTCATGTCGCAGAGCAAATTACGGGCAAGAGTGGACTCATTTATGGTCGTAATTACTTAAATACTAGCAGTAATTGGGTAATTACGACCGTAATTACCTTCCTCGGAGTTTAGTGAAACGCGCGTTTTGGGTGAATTACGGGCAGACCATGATTACGACCGTAATTCAACCCGTATTTCACCCAGAATCGGGTTTAATAGGTAGATTCGAGCCAAAGGAGAGGGGGTCGACTTTTTGGAGCAAAAACAGAGCTTTAGAGAGAGAAAGTGCGAAGAACAAATCCTAGGAGCTATTTGGAGTGGATTTCTCACCATTGAAGCCCAGATTTCATCCCCAGGAGTGAAGATTGACATCCTAGAGCAGATTCTTCCCATTTTTATGAGTATAACTGCTTTGTATTATGTTTCCCTCTCTCTATGGAGTAGAACTTTCTCTCACTTGGGTATGAAGAATCCTAGTTCCATGTGTTAGGAATCTTGATTGTAATTACGTTTCGATTGTGATATTGCTTGATTATAATCGATTGAAGTGTTTTGATTGAGTCAATTAAAGTCTGATCATCTTTTATTGATTTCTGCTGCAACCTGAGATAGATAGAATTTGATTAGGTTGTTATAGCTTCTTCAATCGGCAGTAGTGAATCGATTATACGAGAGTTAGTCGATTCACTGCTTTGTACTGGAATCTAATTCCAGTAGTGGAGTTCTGTGTTTATTGCCTCAGCGTTCTATCCCGTTGAAGACTAGTCGTCTGCCGGGTAGTTTGACTGAGAGGGCTTAGTCAGCTTAAGAGATTCCAAGCTACTGTCGGATCTTCCGCAGTATAATCAGCAGTAAAGCAACCAAAAGTAATTACAACTGTGACCTAACTAAGGATCTAGGGGGACTCATTCTCGAGTGACTCTTCCTTTGCTTTAGAAAACCGAACCATTTCCTGCTTTCTTACTGCTTTTAGTTAAAATCACAATCACTCAACTTAGTTTGCTAGATAACAGATATACACGGAGTAGGCACTAGATCTAGACCCCGGGTTGACAATTAGAGCTTGCCTGTTACTGCATTTGCGGACTGCGATTACACTTAGTCGCAGTTTGGTGTTGTGTTTTAGCGTGTCAGGCACGATAATCGCGAACCACAGAGGAAAGTGTATGTGGTTGGAGACCACAGTCTCAATTTCTAAACCGTTGTGAGGATGAAAGGTCGTGCCACTCGACCCTCTCGGTTTAGACAATTGGTAATCGGCTTACTCCCTCACTCAACTCTAAGGTCGGACGGCTTAATCAAGATTAATCGATTTGCTTAACTCAATATTGAGGGTTGCCCTAACTTAACCTAGTTTAGGTGGCTTAGAAAGCAGAAGGAAAACCAACTCGATTGAGTCTCCCTTGGAAGGGGGATTTTCCTCTCTAAGCTGGGCTAAGGTGGCTAATTAGATTGCTAGCACCTACATGCACAAACCTAATGGTGCTAAGCACAAAACATGCACAACCTCTAGGTTGCTAAGCACAAGCATGCACAATCATGATAAATAATGCCTCAATCATTGAATTGAACAATACCCAATGACAATCATTCAATCTATACAAGTAACTTCAAAGTATTAGTTAGGTATGTACAACACCCAAGAGAAAATAGTGAGTTTCTAGAGAGAGAGGGAATACAAATTTGAGCTCAAGATCTTCTTTTTATTCTTCTTCTAGGCTTGAATCTTCCACCCAAGCCCCCAATGATGCTCCAAGATCACTCTAGCACTCTCTCTCTCTCTCTCACTAGAACTCCCCTTTGGTGTTTAGGTTGAAACCCTAGAGAAAGAAAGTGTTTCTTCTTCAAAAACCAGCTCTCCGTTCTCTCTCCCCGCTGCTGTCTTCATATTTGCCCGAGAGTTTTTATGTTGGGTGCTAGATTATGTGTACTGCAACCTGCATTTGAGATAGTTTGAATGACGTGATTGAGATAAGATCTCAAGATATGTTCCCAAATCTACTATAAGTAATTAGTCATGCTCTATAATGCTATAGTAATGTTTCCTATAGACAATATCGTAGGCACTAAATGTTCAACTCCTAAATCATCATGTGTAAACATTGTAATAATCAAATTGTTAGTAATTCAGCATATGAATCTAACTTATGATAGGTTCTCAAATATAATATAGTCAATTAGCCTTTTCATAATCAATTAACAATGCCCTCCACATTAAAATTAAACTTTCATATTTGAAAGACTAAAATTTTGAAACACCAAGTTTGAATGCACCAAAAATATTTATTCATTTCTTTCCTCCTTTTTTCTCTTCCCTTAAATTAAAAGCACTCAAGTTCCCCTCTTCTTCTCTTCTAAGAAATTGAAAACACTAAGTACAATACTTTTTATATTTATATTTAATTGATAATTTTGCCAAATAGTGAAATTAGCCAAAATTTTATTGTGTGTATATTAGTGATAACAATCAATCCCATGACCGCAGGTATCTGACGCCCCGATCCAATCAACACGGAGAATCCCACATTGACTAGATATGGGGTTGGTATGGATAAAACCCGCAAAAAAAATTGATTGGTATGTGGCGGGTATGGTTTTAGCCTCCCCAATCCTATACCCATACTCATACCCGCCCTACCAAGAACATTTTTTCACATATAAAAGATATATGAGTCAAATTGTAACCTATCAATAATAGTGAAGGCAACTCAAAAAAATTAATAGTAGAAATGCAATTGAGTGGTTATCGAGATCTAACAATTCCTTTCCTTCAATTCTCCCTTCATTCTTACTTTTTTCTCTTGTTAACAGAATAATTATGTTAGTTAATTATTACTTAGTAGATGTATCGGAGTTAGAAACTAATGATTTGGAAACTATTATACTCTATCTTATTGATTAATGAATATTTTAGGATCATATCATTTGAACCGTATTAAAAATGATTGTATAATTGTTGATAGTAGGTCCTTTTAACCTTATATTGATTAATGAGTTTGCAAAACCTTCAAGAGTATGGGGTGGGTACGAGTTTGGATATTTGAAAGCGAGGATGGAGATGGTTTAGGGAAACCTGCCCCATTGTCATCCCTAGTGTATACTATATTAATGGTATAGATTGTCTTAATTGTTAATATTCATTATCAATATTGGCATTGTGATGACTTTATATTTCTTATTTACTTTTTGGTAAGATTGTTAAAGAAATTAATGTTCAAGTGAACTTCAGGTTCTAATATTTAATTTTTAGAAAATACATAACTTCAAGTGAACTTCTTTTTGTGAAATGAAATAACGATTTTATTTAGGTTTAGAACAAAAAAAAATTATTTTCAAAGACTATATATTATGTAATATATTTATGTCAA